AACTTGTGATTTTAATTATTACATAACCATTAAATAATTACTATTCACCACATATTAATATTAATTATAGCAATGCAATTATTAAATTGTGCCTTACAACAACAACAACAAAACACTAGAAAAAAAAAACAGAAGAATCCAACAGTTTTGGAGGTGCATCTAAGTTCCCAAGAAACTCAAGACAACACGATGACCAATGGGGGGAAAATTAAGAGGCTGAATCAACAGCCTAAACGCAACAACGCCAGCAGGCTCCTGAGTGACTACTCCTGTTTTTATTCCATTTTCGAGGGTGCACATCCAGTGGATACGGGGAAGTGGAGATGTTTCAGAGCAAAGACGCATGCAGCTTCCCAGAGTTCACAGTATGCAGAAAGCCTCTGACAGGAAAATGGGTAGCGACGGGAGCAAACGGACGGCTGCAGGCCACTCTCATTGATGACTCTCGACTCAAACCCGTAAATGAAATATTAGCCACGAGACTGCCACAGGCTGCCGAGACAGCAGGGTAGCGAAGGGGTCGTGCTGTGAGGCCCGCGGACGCTTATTCATGCTAATCACCGCATTAATAAATGCAAGGCGAGCCAGGCCATCGCTTGCACAGGCGCTAGGGGGGAAAAAAAAGATAAAATTCACATGGACTCTTTACTATTAGGGGAAAAAATGTGAGAAAGCCAGGAGAGAAGAAATATCTTGTTTACAGGTGCCCCTTTCAAAGCCCCGGGTCAATCCCGTTTAAGTCAGTCAGGCACCCGCAAAGAACAACTGAAGGGACAGAGAAACAGTGCAGCGGGCTGAGCACAAGCTTCGCATGAAGAGGCCTACATGGTCCCTCAAGCACTGCCAGAAGTGACTCCTACACACGGAGCCTAAGCATTGCTGGGTGTGCCCCGCAAAAAGAATAACTGTTAAGAAATAGTGAAGACACTTAAAATGCTGTCTCACCAGTGTACGGTCATGAGTTTGAATCCCTGGCGTCCCACATATGCTAAGTGTGCACTTGGTAGGTCTATGGTCTGTGAGTCATCATGGCAAGTGAATTCTGGCCGCACCACAGCCAGAGGGTGTGTGTAAGCACCACAGAAAGGGGTACAAGCCCTGCAGAGAAGATGGTGTGTGAGCACTGTGGCCTGTAATCAGGAAGCACTGTGGGAGGACTGCAGTGAGCCCACCATAACTCAGACACAGCAAGTCCGTGGGCGAGCACAGCCTGATGGGAGAACCCAAGTGACAATGCCAGGTACCACGGCCCAGTCATGGCAGCGACAGCATCAACAATGGTGGGGGTGGGGAGGATGAGTACCTTCTTCCTTGTTTTGTTTGGGGCCACCCCCACTCGTGCTCAGGGCTTACTCCTGGCTCTGCACTCAGGGATCTCTCTTGACAGTGCTTGGGCGACCCTATGGGGTGCTGGGGATCCAACTGGGGCTGGGTGCATGCAAGGCCAGTGCTTTAAGCCCCATACTCCCTTAGCCCGGACAAAGTCCCTTTTTTTTTTCCTTGGGGATGGGCCATACTTGGCTCAAGATTTACTCCTGAAAAGTCTCAGTTTACTCCAGGCAGTGGTTTCGGAGCTGGGGACTGAGCCAGGGTCAGCCACATGCAAAGCAAATACCTTAACCCTTGAATTATCTCTCCGGATCTCCGATCCCCTGCAGATGGGAAGGTAGAAGTCAGAGAACAGTCAAGCTTGTGTTTAAAAACCCTCCCTCTAAGCAATTCCTGGCACTTCTGAGCATTTGCAAGACAACTTATGCCCTAAGAGAAAGTATAGCCGTTAATAAAACATGATAGTATAGTCCCTAAGCACTGCTGGGTGTGCCCCACAAAAAGAACAACTGTTAAAAATAGTGAAGATGCTTAAAGGAGAGAGAGAACAAAGGGGAATGCCCTGCCACTGAGGCAGGGTGGGATGGGGGGATGGGGGGTGGGAGGGATACTGGGATCCGTGGTGGTGGGAAATGAGCACTGGTGGAGGGATGGGTGTTTGATCATTGTATAATTGAAACCCAAGCACAGAATTTGTAAGTCTACAACTGCACCTCATGGTTTCTCACTAATAAAAATTTAAAAAAATAGTGAAGATGCTTAATTAGTGAAGACAGCCTATCTCCCAGCTGTCCTCGCTTTCTACCAGGAGCAAGCCCTGAGCACAGAGCCCAGAGCCCTGCTGGGTGTGGAGTAAAATCCCCCCAAAACCAAAAGAATTTAAAAAGGAAGGAAAATTTAGGTTCACACAGAAGCCCTTTTGAATATGCTCAAAACGAGTTTTTTGCCTAACTCTGGAGAAATGTATTTTCCCTGACAGACATGTGGGCGCACACAATCTCTACGGAACACTAGGAAGAAACCATCCCTGCGTGCAATCACCCGGAGAGACGCACAGCCTTCTGCTGAGTTAAGAGGCTCCACTTCAGGCGGCAGTTGAAGCACAGCAACACAGTGCACTGGGCCCCGGGTTCGAGTCCCAGCACATGTGGTCTCTCGAGCACAGCCAGGCGTGGGCCTGGTGGCCAACAATGCCTCTGGGCCCAGTCAGGGCAGCGTTGAAATTTCTGGCGCCTAGTTGGCTGTGGCCTCCCTAGGCTCGGCTTGGGGGTCCAAACCACAAAGCAGGTGTGAGAATCTTTTCCGTAGAGAGATTCCAGAAGGGCACATGCGAACAAGAAATGTTGGGGCAGGCTTGTCTGAGTTTCTATTTTAATATTTCAGAGAAATTTAACAGACCAGTTCTGATGAAGCTGACCAAGAAAGGAAGAGGAATATAAAGTGCAAAATGGTATAAATAGAAACAAAAGAAACAAGAACATAATGTTGCCATGGGGATTTTTACAGCCCCTCAAGCACAGCTCTGCTCCATTAATACACAGGGAAGGTCAATATAAGGAGCAAATGTTAATAACAGGCGGTGGCAAAGCTGGAGAAAGAATCCCTCAAGACTGTAAGGCTAGAAAATTGTGCCAAATGAGTTAAAAAGAAGAAAAAAAAACAGTGCCAAGAATTATACATTTGAATGAAAAACCTCTAGCAAGAAAGACAATTCCCTATAATTCTTCTTGAAATTTCTCAGTTGGTTTATATGAAATCACTAGACTCGTGAAATAAAACATGAAGGGAAAGAGAAAAATGACAAGAGCTCAGTGTAGCCTGCATTTGCGAGCTGAGTGGGGACCTATCCAGCCTCGTGGGCTGGGAGTGGTCCTGGACTCTGTGACACTTCTTGGAGGCCCCCCCAAATTAATTGCATTTATAGCTACCAACAAAATACCAATAACAAATCACAAATCATCCTGTTATTCGTTGATTGCCTCGAGCAGGCCCCAGTAACGTCTCCTTCATCCTAGCCCTGAGATTATATTCAAGGCTCTTTAGGAGAATGAGACCCATCATTGTTACTGGTATTTGGCATATTGGGTACGCCACGGGGAGTTTGCCAGACTCTGCCCTGTGGGCAGGCTACATTCGGTAGCCTGCCAATTTGTCCAAAGTAGGAATAAGATGTCATAATAAGAGGAAAGCTCAACCCGCTCCCCTCCAAGGGGTCCCGGCGAGCGAGGACAGTCAGGCGCGGGGGCAGAAGACTGCACTATTCTCTTTCGGGAGCTGGTTTTTATAGTCTCTGAGTCTTGGCCGCTGATGGGATTACACGGCGCCAGGGGGCCAGAGAGATAGTACAGTGGGTAGGGCACTTTCCTTGCATGCAGTTGACCTGGATTCAATCTCCTGTATCCCACAAAGTCCCCCAAGCACCACCAGGAATAATTTCTGAGCACTGCCAGATATGACCCTCTCCCTGCCCCACCCCAAAATAGCTTTAAAAAAAAAACTAGTTTTTTTTTTTAATAAAACCACTGAAGATTTCAGTCTGTTCTGTTCTTTGTTGCTTAATCCTGAAAGTTTATTAATATAATCAATCATACCAATAGATTGGACTGGAGCAGTAGCACAGTGGGTAGGGCGTCTGCCTTGCACACGGCTGACCTGGCTGACCGACCTGGCCGACCCAAGTTCAATACCTCCGCCCCTCTCGGAGAGCCTGGCAAGCTACCGAGAGTATCTCGCCTGCACAGCAAAACCTGGCAAGCTACCCATGACGAATTAGATATGCCAAACACAGTAGCAACAAGTCTCACAATGGAGACATTACTGGGCCTGCTCAAACAAATCGATGAACAATGGAAGGACAGTGCTACAGTGCTACCAATAGATCAACATTGAAACGACATAATACGGACTGGAGCAATACAGCAGACAGGGCATTTGCCTTGTATGCAGCCGACCTGAGTTCAATACCCGGCATCCCATATGGTTCCACAAGCACCACGAGGAGTAATTTCTGAGTGCAGAGCCAGGAGTAATCTCTGAGTGTCGCTGGATGTGACCCAAAAAAGCAAATAATAATAATAATAATAATAATACATTTTAATTTAATTAAAAATATATAATATTAACAGAGGCCAACAAAGTCATTTGGCAAAGTTTAAGCACTATTTATGTTTTTTTTTTCCTTAAGGCCCAATAAACAATGACTAGAGCTTAGAGCTCTTCCCCTTAACCTTATACAAAACAGCTGTCAGAGCCAGCCTGCTGCCCAGAGTGGACAGGGCTTCTAATTAAATTCAAGAGCCAGTGGAGGAGTAAGGACTGCCACTGACAGGCAAGCCACACAGCGGAGGTCCATCTCCTGAGAAGGAGGGCACATCATCGTTTCTCTGACAAACCACGATCAATGGGTCCAAGACCAATCCCTGGAGACTGTTCATATCTGATGCCAGGGGCTGAACCCAGGTGGGCTGGCTGTGTGCAAGGCAAGAACCTCACCTATCATACTCTCTCTCTCTCTCTGGCCAACAATTCCACCTTCAAATCATTTCCTTTTTTGACCAGAAATATTTTAAAACTCACCTGAGTGATTTGACTTGAATGAATAGGTAAACATATTTCTTTTAATTTTTTAAAAATATTTTTGTTAGTGAATCACCGTAAGGTACAGTTACAGAAAATATATGGAACACTTCATGAATTTGCGTGTCATCCTTGTGCAGGGGCCATGCTAATTTTCTTTGCCTTGTTCCAATTTTAGCATACGTGCTGCCGAAGCGAGCACTCTTATTTAATTTTTTAAATTTTATTTTATTTTTATAAATTTGTTCACAATGGTTTATTACACTCAATATTAAAACACCAGTCCCACCGCCATTACACTTTCCCACCACCATTATTTCGAATGTTTTCACCACCCCAAAGCCTGTCCCTAAATAATTTATTCTGTATTGCTTGTTATGAATAATCCACTAAAAATGATCCAAAAAAGTTTCCTTAGAGGAAAGTGTGTGAAGATTGTTGTATCTCACCCTGGATCCATTAAGTCCATTAACAAGAGATTACGAAAATGTTGTTAGCGGTTGAGCTTTGTGTCAAATATGTATTTATATACATGTGATTGGTTGCCTTCTACTTTACACCCCATTCGATGTGGTGTGCTACTCTTGGTACATCAGTGGTGTTGAGAATGAGATGTAGCTCCAGGAATTCTAAAATTTTAAACAGGGTGATATAGCAGGAGTCAAAATTTTAACTTTTTAACTGGATGGATGGTGACTTTGGGGTCTGGAGGCATCTCTGCAGCTTGTGGCTCTCTTCCAAGATTTATTTGTGAGTCCTTGGATTGTGTCCATTAATGAGTTGATATGGCACCAGAGGCAGTTCATGGGCATGACTGCCAAGCTCCCAGAAGCACAGGGAGATGGGGGGAGGTTGCCCATTCCTGACTCCATGCAAGTCTGGAGATTTCAGTCACAAAATCCGCATGCCTGAGATTTTCAGCAGGTTCATTCCTGGATGCGGCTCATCCGAGCCTGTGGAGATTGGCCATGAGCATGGCGACTGAGTTCTGGAGATTTTCGGCTGCTAGAGATCTGCTGGGGTGGGTGGTAGGGCTCAACCTCTCCTAAGGATACTTATTAAGTAGACTGAGGGGATGGCAGTGGGTAGGGTGCTTGCCTTGAACATGACTCACCTGAGCTGGATTCCAGGCAACCCCAATGGTCCACTGAGCCAGCCAGGAGTGATCCCTGAGCACAGAGCCAGGAGTAAGCCCTGGATATCCCCCCAAACAACAACAACAACAAAATGCTCTTATTTTTTTTCCTTCATCAAAAGAGGGAAACAAAATGGGTCGTGAGGCCCTCATGATGAAGTTCCTAGGTACTGTGGCACTTATAACTGACTTACAAAACTGAGCTTTAAAAGAACCCCAAAAAGAAAAATCAATGCAACAGATGCTAAAATAGAACCATTACTAAAGAAATTCTTCCAAAGCAGCAGTTTTAGGAGTTTTAGCAACATGCCACTGGATGTTAAGTAGAATTCTTAAGTATAAGGTACGTGGAGGCAGGAAGGATGTTTAGAAATGAAGTGACGTTCTTTGAACAACCAGAAAACCGAAGCAGGAAGCCAAGGAGAGAATTAAAAGGAAAAAATTTTCTAAATCTTTGCTATGAACAGTTCAAGCCTGAGGCCTTTCCCTGAAGGCCTGCATTTCACTACTTACCAACTGACAGCTTTCTAGGGAGTTGACAAGCTGAGCATTCTGGCAGGACAGGATGGAGCCGGCCAAATTCAACATCACACAGACTGCGGAGAGCAGCATGAAAAAGGTTATCTGGAAACAAACCACACCGAAAATTGATTATTCGCTTGGGAGAGGCTGGCTAAAGGGAAAATGATCTGGCGCTGAAAAAGCTTCCCGTCTGTCCAATAATTGCATGAGCGTTCATGTGTGTTTGAAGGAACGCATTCTTCCTCCCCACTTTCAACTCCTATTACCTTAGAGCAAAAAAGGGGAAAGCCAGGAAGGCTTTATCTGAAAGAGGTTAGATGCCAGAGGGGAAAATATTTTCAGTCTCAAAGCTTGGTTTCCTCTGGTTCAAAAAGAGCAAGTTATGAGAGGAAATCCATGGAAAGAAGCTTATTGATTCAAAAAACTAAAGTTTCTTTTCATTTTTTATTATGAGGAAGTTCATATACAGGCAAAGCCAGAGAAGACTGTGCCATTTACCAGAATCAACAATTAACCAATCTGTGGTCAGTTCTGTTTCATTTACATCCTCGCCATCAGATTTTTTATAACAAATAAATATCAGACTATCTGGGGCCAGAGTGATAGGTAGGGTGCTAGCCCTGCACATGGCTGACCGGGTTCGATTCCCAGCACCCCATATGGTCCCCTGAGGCTTGCTAGGAGCAATCTCTGAGTGCAGAGCCAGGAGTCAGCCCTGAGCCTTGCCAGGTGTGAACCAAAAATAAATAATTATCAGGTACCACATCATTTCATCTTTAAATATTCCCGCATCTATTTATAAACTAAAACCAGAGTACTACTATTGAATAGTCATTTATATATTCAGATTTCACATTTCTTTCTTTTTCTGTCCCACACCTTGTTTTTTAAACCCTCCCCTGCCCTTTTTTTTTTTTTTTTACTGAGGGAGGTGAGGGGGCTTGGGTCACACCTGGCGGTGCTCGGGGCTTAACCTGGCTCCCTGATCAGAGCTCACTCCTGGTGGTGTTTCTGGGACCCTTGTCAGGTTGGTTGCATGCAAGGCAAGCACCTTAACCCCCGTACAATCTGTCCTGGATCTGATTCAAGGGCAAACACAGACCCACCAAGTACACCAGTTATTCTAAATCGTAGTCATTTTGTAACTTATGAGTTCTGCTTCCTTGAAATTCAGTGAGGCCATTCCGCTGGCCTCTGAGAGCACCTGCAGCCCACCTGTTGTCAACCGTCTCTTTCACCCCTCAACGGTTCTGGGCCTTTGCATTTCCTGACATGGGTGAAGAGAGCCAGAGGTCTAATCAGAACCAGCGTCTGTGTCGGCAACTGCCGTTCTCGATGACCGGACCCCTGGCTCACGAGGATTCCCCAAACACTGCGGGTCTCATATGCTTATTTGTTCCTTTAGTGGGAGGCTCCTAAACAGCGCTCTAGGGTTCTGGGGACCACTAGGCCAGTGGTTCAATGTGAGGGTTTCAGGATGTGGTGCTGCTTGGACCTGCAGTGCCAGGGATACCACCCAGCAATTCTGGGGGCTTCTAGGGTTCCAGTCAGCAGTGCAGTGCCAGGGATGGAACCAGAGCCAGCTGCATGAGAGGCACATGCCTTACCCCTGTACTACCTTTTCCGGTTCCTCTACTTCCTCTTTTAAAAAAAAATAGGAGGAAACTTTCCCTCAACACTTGTTTGCTTTTCAGGGCATGAGTTGTAAAGAAAAGGGGCTGGAGTGATAATATAGCGGGGAGGGCATTTGCTTTGCACATGTCTGATCTGGGTTTGATCCTTGGCATCCTAAATGGTCCCCTGTGCACTGCCAGCAGTGATTCCTGAGTGCAGAGCAAGGAGGAACCACTGAGCATCTCCAGATGTGACCAAAAACAAAACAAAACAAAAACACCCGCTCTCCCAAAAAGAGTCATAAAGGAAAGTAAAGATATGCAAAATCCTGTAGATTTTCCAGATTTCTAAATAATTAGTTGATAGGATGCTAAACACAGTAACAAGTGTCACAATGGAGATGTTACTGGGCATGCTTGAGCAAATCAATGAGCAACGGGAGAACAGTGACAGTGACAGGATGCTAGAATATTTTATTTTGGGTGGTAGGGTGGAGACACAACCAGCGATGCTCAGGGCTGACTCCTGGCTCTGCACTCAGGAATCACTGAGTGGGGCTCAGGGACCATATGGGATGGCGGGGATTGAACCTGGGGGGGGGGGTCATGTGCAAGGCAAATGCCCTCCCCACTGTACAACCGTGAACCCTAGAATCAGATTTTGAAAATAAACTCGAGGCCATGTGATTTCTCGATGCTTCTGCTGCATTCTGAAAACAATCAGCGTCATCGACTAAGCAGAAAACTCTGTGATCCAGAATGACCTGTCACCTTCCCTTTGCTGCTCACTCTCCTCCTATTGGGTCTGGTGCTCACTCACTTGGTTGAGGTGCCTCTTGTGGCCCTGGGGGTCATGGTGAGGCTGTCATGTGGCATGTGGGCCAGGCCAAGGGTCCTACTCAGAGGCTGCTGCTCCGCCACCGAGCCTCAGAGATAACCTGCGCTCTGCCGCAGAGTGCCAATGTTGGGACTGGCTTCCCTCATGAAATAATGAGATTAATATAATCTTGGACATCAGATTATGTTTATTTTGGGTGGGTTTTTGTTTTTAGTGTTCAGGTCTCATTTGACAGTACTCAGGGCTCTGTGCTCAGGGATCACTCATGGCAATGCTACAAGGGGAAGATCTGTAGTTGTGAGGATTGAACCAGGGCTGGCTGTGTGCAAGAGAAGCACCTTAACCTCTGTACTATCTCTCTGACCCAGACAACAGATTATTTGGGAGAAATGAGTAGGGTCCTCCCACGTACCACCTTTCAGTGCTAATCAGGCAGACATGCTTTGGTTGGGGGTGGGGTGCCCACGACAGCTTTCTTTTCTTCCCAACACTTATAGGTTTATAGGCTCTGTACATCTGAATCTGTGCAGGCTTACTGAACACATCTCAACAACTGCAGTTAGCCAGAATCTGCTCCACTAACACTACTCTAGGCCGACTTCAGTAGCACTGACCTACATACCTTTAAGGCACAAATATATGTAGGGTGTTACCGGATGGAGCCTTAGCTGACAGTTGTGTCAGGTAAATATCATTCCTTTTCAGTGTCTGGAATTCTCATGATCTAGACTCTTATTCTGATGTCCCTACTACAGTACTCTGATAAGCACTGTGGGTTAGAGGTCCAGGACTTGCACCATTCACCAACAGCTCTCCGGCTCTGCTCCCTCAGCCTCTGGGAAGTACCTTTCTCCTCTGTTTTGACACGTCTGGCCTTTTCGCAAAAGTCACATCATACAGTCTTTCAGTAGCTGCCTGGTCTCATCCCCGCTCTCATAAGTAAAAGGATTTCCTTCTTTCACCACCACTGCACTATACACAGCTGTGCATCACTTAAAACAGTGTCCACCATCTCTGGACTGTGTATGGCAGGTCCAGGCCTGGTGAGTGGTGTGGTGGCTGAGGTTTGCGCGGTCCCACTTCCTCCAGTTCACACAGTGACAAAATCACGTGGCCACAGGTTGGTCAGAATCTGTTCCTGAACTGCCTGGGACAGTACGTTCTCATTTCCTTTAGCTAAGACAGCTGTGTAGCTGTCTCCACAGCTCAAGGCAGAGTGTGATTCACTGTGACAAAGAGGGACAATAACCATGCGGTGCCAGTGATCTTTAGGCGCCGCACTTACACCCCCAAAGTAGAATCGCTCAGCCATAGGGTACTTCTACTTGAAGACTGAGAAAGGCCACTCTATTTTCCCAGGTGGCCACGCCAATTCACATGCCCACGACAGCTTTCTTTTCTTCCCAACACTTATTGTCTCCTCCTGATGGGCTCTGGCTTCCGATGCAGACCTGATTCTAGACTCTAATGGGTGTGAGGCTTTGATTTGCATTTCTGCTTCCTTGTGATTTTTTATTTGTATTTCCCCGAGGACAGACAGGCAGCATCTTTGCACGTACCTGATGGCCAGTTACACGCCTTTGGAAAAATCAAATTCGTCTGCCTATTTTTAAATTAAAAATTTTTTTTTTTTCTGATCAAGAAAATGGTACTTTTGTTTACCAAAGTAACCCAGGCTGTCTCAAGCGTGGGGCGTTATAAACCAGAGTCCAATTACACGCCAGGAAATTCTCTGAAGTCCAGTTTGACCCTTCACCATACAATGGACCTCTTTGACCCAATTTTCCCAGCGCCCTTCCCTGCAGGTAAGAAAATGACAGTAAAAGCTGTTAGGAAAGATGAAGTCACAAAATTTGCTTATAAATAGATGATCATGGAGTGTATCATGCTAAGTGAAATGAGTCAGAGAGGGACAGACATAGAATGACTGCACTCATTTGTGAAATATAAAATGAGACTGACACCCAAGGACAGCAGATACAAGGGCCAGGAAGATTGCTCCATAGTTGGAAGCCTGCCTCATGAGCTGGGGGAGAAGGTAGCTGAAATAGAGAAGGGATCACTAAGACAATGATGGTTGGAGGAATTGTTCAGGATGGGAGATGTGTGCTGAAAGTAGATAAAGGACCAAACGTGATAGCCTCTCAGTATCTGTATTGAAAATCATAATGCCCAAAGAGTCTCCTACCCTGTGCCTGACTGTCTCCACCAGGGCCCAACAGCTGAAGACCACCGGGGCCCAGCCAAGGCCATGCTGGGACCACTCTCCACACACTTGGATGAGCCTCACGCATAAAAGAACTGACAGAGGAACCCAGGTGTGTAGGACCCGGGGCTGAGATCTCCAAGCCTGCACAGTTTGGGACTGGACCTGCCAGTAACTAGACAGTTACACCCACCAACTGCCGTGTAACTCCAACAACGGCCAGGATCCAGAGATCATCACACTCAGCTCCTGGGAGAGAACAAGGCAGAGTCTCCTACCCTATGCCTGACTGTCTCCACCAGGGCCCAACAGCTGAAGACCACCGGGGCCCAGCCAAGGCCATGCTGGGACCACTCTCCACACACTTGGATGAGCCTCACGCATAAAAGAACTGACAGAGGAACCCAGGTGTGTAGGACCCGGGGCTGAGATCTCCAAGCCTGCA